CCCCAACCTCCCGCCCACAGCTTTAGCCTGGGTATAATCTAGTATGGTTGTGCAATGTTGATTGTAAATATATCTCATCTTTAGATACTCAGGACTTATACCTTGTCTCCTCTAATAACTATTCTCCATATTGCTTATCCCAAATCCAGGTTCCAAGTTCAGAATAATAAAACTATTAAGATGTCTTTTATGCCTAAACCATCTTTGGGTTTCCTGGAATGGCCATTAGGGAATACAAAGATTTGCTCTTCAATCTTATAAGAGAGAGGACAATAAGAATAAATTGTTCAAACTTTTAATTACATCACATTACCACATTCAGATTCAGACAAAAATTAAGAAAATTAATAGAATTCTAAAAGTATGATCATCAAAGTTCTCAGAAACCTTCCAACTTCCTAGGCCCAAAGTCCTGACATTAGCCCTGATGACAATAAGGTCAAGCCTCTCAAGGACCATTAAGCTGTCTCTTTATGTGTTAATAGAAGGTTGCCTCATGCATTTGGAAATTTCACTTGCCATCCCAGATGCTACTCTATCACAGGCTAATGTGACTGAATATTTCAGGAGATTTATAAAATATCTCCAGTTACATGACCATCGTAAACAAAGTACATTTTCAAAATCCACACCTAAAGATCCTGTCCGTGGTCTGCCACCTTGACATTCGGTCTTTTGAAACTGGCAACAGAAATAAAACTTCCTTTGGGACTTGATAAAAAATATCTTGTCACTTGGTACCTTTAACAACTGACATATCAGTAAAATTCCAAGATATTGATACTTAGATTTTTAAAGTGTATAAAACTTTTTACTGAAAAGATGCCATCACTTCCTCCCACATTACTGAGCATGCATTTCATCAGAAGACCTTAAACTGAAGCTTCTTAGGAATCCTCCAGAAGTGGCTGACAGCAGAAGGGGACAGCTTCTGCCCAGGACAACACAACAAGCTGCTGACTTCAGAAGTGGATAGGTTCCAACCAAGATAACAGAATGAGATTAATTTTTTTTAATTTTTCAACACTCCTTTTCTGTCCCTTTGCCCTTCTACTAACATTACCTAGAATTACACTTTTATACCTTCAATAACACTACTGTGATCTCCTTGTCCTTCATCCTATTATTTTTTAACCTCTATGGTCCTCTTCTGCCACTTAAGGGAAAACAAAATTCTCCTCTATGTCTTGCCCAGGCCACAGCCACTGCTCTGAGTGTAACTGATTGCTGGATCTGACGTCCTCCCGCACACCCTGCTGACAGTAACTTAGTATCAGTTCCTTTCAACATCTCAGGAGGCAGAATCCCTCCTATAGGCCCCTTCTGGTACTTAAGCTTCCCTCCTATCACTAATCCTGACCTTCAGCCCTGTAAAAATGGAACTTGCCCTCAGATTCTCAAAATGCTTCTCTTAAGGCTGTTGTAGTACTATTGGCAAGACCTAGCCAATCAAAAGTAGACAATAATATTGAGGCTTTCCCGACCACGATAGTCAATTCGTTCTCTTCAGAAAACACATGATCCTGTTTGGCTTAATTTTGAGCATACTTGAGAGCCCCCCTTTTGTTAGAGGAATTGTTCTGTATTTGTTCTTTTTAAAACTAATTTATTTTCCACTTACAGTTGATATACATTATACTAGTTTTAGGTGTGCATTGTGAGACACTTTTAGATATTTAAAAGTACTGTCCCTTCAGTGGATTGTTTCTCTGGGAAAAAATACCCACAAACCTCCAAACTGCAGTCCACGGGACTTTATTTAAAACAAAAAAAAATGAAACTCCCAGAGGCATAACTGACTGTTTTCATAAACTCTACGTAAGTTACAATTCCCCTGTTAGGGATAACGTCACTGGCAAACGTGGCCCAAAACTTGCCTCAGACCCTAGCAAAATTCCTAAGTTATACAACTTCACCTCTGAAAGACAAACTAGCATAAACCCATTAGTTAGGATTGTTACGGACAATCACATAGTCCTTGATCTCCTCTTAATCAGCCAAGGGGGAATTTGTGCTACAACAAACACTCCCTGCTGTACCTATTGATAAAGTTAATTTGTAAATCGGTACCCACAAAATGGAGGCTGCCCCAGTGGCCCGGCCCACAACACAAAACTAAACCTAAACCAGCCTGCACTTGAGAGAAATACCTGTCAAAGAAACCTAACATCCTCCCATCATAACCCTGCAGCTCAGCCTCAGCTACCTGCCCAGGAACCAGCACCTGCTGGCTCTGCAGGGAAGCACTGCCCGCCTGGCCAGTCCTGCTCTGCTAACACTCTACAGACTCACTCTTCCAATCCCACCGGAAGAGCCATCCACTGCTTGGGAGACACTGTACCCCCCAATCCGTGGATCGTATTCCCTCCAGTAAAGCACATCACACTCATTACTAAATTGTTTTAGGACAGTCGTTTGTTTGATAGCTTTGGCAATGAGATGAGATCCGAAGACTGCTGAAGATCCTGGGAAGGACTTCTAGACTCAGGTGAACGTCTCCCCAAGAGCCCTCTTCAGCTGCTCCCCGGGATCAAAAGTTCTCAGATGGAGTTGCCCTTAATTTGTATTTTGAGCTACTGGAATTTCTTTGTCCTAATCCTTCCAGGTGGAAACTTGGGAGTGTGAGAGACTCCAGATTTTTGACATTGACACTTAGTGGCCCACAGCATTTGGGTTTGTGGCCGACCTCCCCTACATAGTCAGCACCTTTGGGCTATTGTTTATTTATTTTTCAAATTATAAGAAAAAGTTTATTGCCAAAGGGAA